CTGTAACTTAGAATATCTACTCTGTGGACTAGATCAATAAAATGTATACCTGCATTTAGCCAGGTTGCATTAGAAGGCTTTTGTGGAGAAAAATGCAAAGGAGGTTGTCTAATCTTCTGCTCTGTACATATAGCATTATAGAAATGGCCAAGTAGGTACAGATTAAATATTCAATTTTATCTCTCAGTTGAAGTGAATGTTATTAGTGCCATGTTCCAATGAAGGGGGAAAATTGTAAAATGACATGCACGAAGTTACACATTGACGGCAAGAATTAACTCACGCAATAGTTTCCTTAATGGCTATTGTTTATATAGGGTGTGTGGGCCCTGGAAATATAGGGATACATAGAATTCTACCTGCAATACAACACCGGAATGACAAAGGACTGGGAATTCTCTCTGTATTCATGATGGTTGTCTTAGAAAATTTATTCTTCCCAATCCTGATTGTTTGAGATAAAAGGAGATTAAAATTACTGTATCATCAGCTGCATTACAAAGTTCTAATAGGGAAATATGAGCATATTTCCTGTAGTCAGAGAGGTGGATGATGGATAATTAGATGTAGATACAAGTGTACAAACTGTAAATCTCTGAAACATCAGCCTTCTCTCCTGTTTAAGACCTAATGTAACTTTATGTCAGCTATGTTCTTTGATATATTTATTCTAAGATTTTATTTATTTATTTATTTATTTGAAAAAGAGAGAGAGAGAGAGGGAACACAAGTTGGGGGAAGGGCAGGGCAAGTGGAAAGCAGACTCCCTCCTGGCCAAAGACCCTGATGTGGGATTTAATCCTACTACTAAGGGATCATGACCTGAGCCAAAGGCAGAGGCTGAACGGACTAAGTCCCCCAGGTGCCTCCTATTTAGCGTTTCTATGAATGTAACTGATGGTATATGAACACCTTCATGTTTAAGTAATTATATTGTTTTTAAACAAATAGATGGCCAGCATTTTAGGAGACAGTGTCCATCCTTCTTAGAACTTGGGGACTTGTGTACATGACTGAAATGTCTAAAAAAAGGATGAGAGTTTTAAAGGACGCTTCCTTTCTCTGCATCATTCAAAGAGTCTGCAGAGCAGGTTTTTCTTGTGCTATCAAACTGAAAGACTAAACATGTAAATGGGAGAATAGTTACTGATTTTTATCCCCACCTGACAGAATAATGAGAAACAATTTTTTCCAAATGGAAATTTATTTTTGAAACATTGTGTAGTGAGTAACAATGCATTTTAACTGAAAATTTCTAATTCATATTCCTCATACAGTAAAGTAATATTTGTTAAGGAAAAATAGGTGTTTGGAAAGCAGTGAATGTGTTGATAATTTCCCAAACCATAGACAAAGTTCAAATCTTCCATACATGTGCTTAACCTACCATAAATTTAAAGTAAATTGCAGTTAGAAGAAAACATACCAGTCTAAAAAGTAAAGATCGTTATAAAGATCGAGGTCCACAAGAGAGAGAAAAGTAAAACAAAGGAATTGACGGTATCATTTGAGAAGAGGGAGAAACTATCCATAAAAATAGAGGTCCTCAATATTATTTGGAACCTATCCCTCAGGCTATCACTATTTGCAGGCACCAGTGGGCATCTGCCCTGAGAATAGATTAGCACTTTCTGCCTATTTTACGAATTAACTGACGTGGTATACAGAAGCCCCACTTAGCGGACAGACTGCAGAAAGTGGAGCAGAACAAGAAAAAAGCAAAGTTCATGAAAGAAAAGAAAGAACATGTCTTCCCTCAAGCATCAGTATTCTTTTTTTTTTTTTCTGGCTTGATACACAAATGCGATTAATGCTCATTTAATAGTGTCACTATCCCTTTTGGAAGAACCACTTAGGATAAATAACATGTTTCAACCTCCCTGTTCACAATGTGTTCTAAAACAAATCGAAACACAACAATATGGTCTAATAACACAAGTGACATATCACATATAAAATTCAAGGCAAATGTCTTTTTTTTCTGGATTTAAAAAGATCCTTTTGGCTAACCTACAGTTAGGATTCCATGACAACTCTCAGAGTCTATAATTAATGAAAATGAGAAGGCTGGGCCAAGAAGGTAGCATCTGTGTGCTGATGGCCAGAGTCACAAATGTTCTGTCACCTTAACTTTATGGTCTCATTCTTCCCCTACTGGCCCTCCCTGCCCACGTGATCTTCTGAAGTCTGCAGGTTTAGCAGTAATAGTATTACCAGCTTGTTCTCATCTTGAGCAGCTGGTATCTCGTGTTCCTTCCTCCTGATTGAAAGCCAGTATGGACTAAGAAAGACAATCACTATGCCTATCTAGGAAAAATAACCACCAATTTCTTTACAAGCATTTACATAGAAACATCATTTATGTCAAGTATTAAGTTTAGACTACTTGGACATCTCCCTTGGGTTCCACAATTTTAATCCTGAGTCAGAATATTCTAGAACAGTGTAAGTCCTATCAAAGTAACTGATTCAGTCCAGACTTATGTATTTAGTTGGTACTGTTCTTGCTGCTGCATATACTTTACCTCAAAATATACTGACCAAATGTTTGGTTTGGTTGTTCTTTGCAAATACTGCTTACCTTGATACTATCTCTATTCACTTAGGGACAGGTTAACTTCATGATTGTTTTTACTGAAGTGGTCAACTAGAAATTGCAGAAATATGTCTGCTAAGTAGGTTGTGGTATTTTGATTTTTCCTTATAAAAAGTGAGCCTTAAAATACAGTGACATCTCTTATTATCAAGACATTACTCTTCTGCCAACTTCAGCTCTCTTGAACAGTGCTCAGATCCCAATAGCAGTCCCAAAAAGCTTCTGTGAATCACCAGACTTTTGTTTGAATCCACATGCCTGATGACTGTCTCAGGTCTAATAATTTTGCAATAAGAAGCAGAACAAACAAAAACACAGACTTTTGCACCAGGAATTAGAAATAAACTGGAAGATAAATTTTAGAGAGCGGCAAAGTGACAAAGTTAAATACCACAGCCTGAAATGGGAGAAAGAAAGATAAAACTCTTGCAAAGCGACATTATGGGATGCCAGGTGAGACAACCCTCAGACATGAAGGAAATAATGTAGTTAGCGATCTCTGATTGAACAAGTAGGAAAATATAATATGTGCAATCTAACTTCTAACCGAAACATGGTATCCTTAAAACAATTGGTTTGGTACTTTAAGGAGTAAGCTTTGGAGTTCAGTGGTACAGGTCATTCTTTGTCAAAATTTAATATGAGTACAAACCACCTTGAGATCTTGTGAGACCACCAAGTAGATTGGGGCTATGAGCAAGACTCTGTATTTCTAACAAGCTAATGTTAGAATGCCACATTTCTTTCCAGTTAATGCTGGTAGTTTTTCCAGCTAGGGTAATAGAAGACATTGATTTCCAATTATGTCAGATAAATGAGATGTTCCTGCATTTGATCTCAAGCACTTTTTGAAACCTGAAATTAAAAAATGTAAGTTGGCAAGTTCATGTTACGTATAATTCATTCCCTTTGGAAAGAAAGAAACAGTATTATAATGAACAATTTTTAAACTATGAAATGTGAGAGAGAAATTAGTAGTGCATTATTCAGTCTCTTTCAACCATATAATAAGCATGCATGAGAGAATTTTATTGAAATCTTAACTTGGTCAATACTGTGCAAAATTTAAGGGGAACTCTATATCATATGAACTCATATTCACTACAATTCTAAATTTTCTCAAATTATACTGTGTCATCCTTTTCACATCTGGAGAGTACGCAACACAAGGCAAGTATCTTGGGCTTGGTTTATTTTTTTTGGAAAGGATACTTGGTTTTCATTTATGTTAATGATGAAACACTGTGCTTTGTTTAGTGGTGAAAAACCAAGATTGTGTTCTTTGATAAAAACAAAGAAAAGACCCGGGCAATCATTTTCTGGTTCTGTACTTTATGCACATAAATATTATGGATATTAAAATATTCCATAAATAAGCTGGACCCAGGAGAAGTGATAATATTATAATACACTTGAAGCTATGGATTTATACCCTTTGTAGGTGTTTCACCTATTATATGAATTCTTGACCCTGCCAAATTCCTTTACACCGAGTTTATAAAATATTCATCACCGATGACATTAATGTGAGACTTCTCTGCTCTTACTTCATCTTCCATACTGAAGTTGTGGTTCTAGATGCATTACTGTCAATTTGATCCTTTCCCACCTCAGTAAGCTTTAGCTGAGGGGGAGATTTCTGTGATGCTCCAGATAATTATTTCATTTCAGGTGGCAAAACTAAATCATCTATGTTTTGTGTGGATGGAGTGTTCATGAAGTATGTGTGTGTGTGGTGGGGGTGGGCAACAGGGAAAGTTGTGAATGATAATTATAAAAGAGAGATGATTTCAAGTGTTCTTTAGAAGGTCAACAGATGCATATGTAAAAATCTGAGCAGCTGTATTAGACAATAAGGAAAATAAGCTCATGATTCTAAGTAATTTACAGATTTTCACATTTGCTATCTTTAAAAAAAAAATCAGGATGGTATAGACAGCAACTGTATAAACCCATTCCCTGTAAAATCCTCTAATTTTTTTCCCATTTTTTTGGAAAAGTAAATCCACAACATGTACCAAAAAACACTGCGTGAAGCTAGAGATGAAGAGTAATCTAGGTTAATCAATCAAATATAAATGATTACTTAGTAAATTATTTCTCATTTATTAAAATGGAAAAAAAAAAAAAGGCAAGACCCAACCAAACAGCTAAACAGTAAGTTTAAATGATAGATCATTCAGGGAATTGAGAGTCTGTCCAAAAAGATTTTCTGGGAAGAACAATTAATTGATACAAAGGCAAGTGCAAATTTGTGTCTTTTTAAACTTTAAAGCATGTCGTTCAAAGTTTCAGCTTGTGTGCGTGATATAAATCCCATACATCATTTTCTCAGTGACGATAAAAAGCGCAGTTTATTAAAAACTGAAGTAAAAATCAAAATGACTTTTTTTTTAAAAAACCGTCACAGTTTCGTCATTGGTATATGGAGGTTGTTCCAGGGGCCCATCCAAAGCTCCTCATCGTCTGAGTGCGTGTGGTCACTCTGGAATTCCAAAGTCTCCTTGATGTTCTTCCTGTCAACCATGGACTCCTGTTCAACTGTGCTTTTCAGCCTGGGCCCCAGTGGCTTCCCTGAGGTACCGTTGGTCCCCACAGGGCAAGGGGCAAACGTAACCAGAGTCGGTCTCGTGTGCATCTTCTCAGTAGGGAATGGCCCCTTTGATAACGTGTTCAGGGGAACACTCTCCTCCTGTGTCACTGCCAGCTTGTCAAGTTTCTTAAAGTGCCTCCCCAGGCGCCCAGGGGAAGTCGCTTTTAAGGTATCAGTGAGGCAGGCACGGCGGGTTCTCACCACGGACCCGTTCTGGGCAATGTAGATGTTGCCGTTGATGTTACTGTGTGTGCTGGGATGGTGAAGACGGTTCCTCTGACATTCCGGAGCACTGTCTTCGCCAGTGGAGCTCGTTTCGTACTCGCGATCCACAACTAACTTGATCATTCCTTTTCTCGCCCACTGCCAAAATAAAACACGGGGAGTCAAAGGAATGAAAGGAGCAAAGGGGACAAGGTCTGCGAAATTCAAAACTGTTGACAGAAAGCCATCAAAGGTTAAAGAACTCAGAAGAGGTAAGGAGACATTGCATTCTTTCCCGCCAACTGTCCATTGGTTTTAGAGCTTAACTTCTGAAGAAGGGGTTGCTCGGTTAAGAAGCAGACATTTTAGGAAGCACTTGCATTCTAGATCAGATTATTGCTCTCATGAAAAGGAAAAGTGTATGTGTTACTTAAATTTAGATAAGGATCTGATCCATTGTTTAACAGTTGCTCTATTCTTCTACGAAGTCAAATTGAAGGAAACACACAGTATTAGTATAGTCTGTTTATACTAATACTTCCTTTTTCCAAATTTTAAGGACTTTTTTAAGCCGCATCATTCTAATTTCTAATTAATACTTCATTATTAGCCAAACTTTTTGTATCCTTTTTGTATTCACTCGGAATATCCTGGTTTTCTGGATCATTTTGTTTCAACAGATGTGACCTGGAAAGAAAGAATCTTCCCATCCTGAATCATTCAGTAATATACAAAAATGAAAATGAATGATTATAAACTTCCTCTAGTAAGCAACTGGAACACAACGGACATTTCTACGAATTTTTCTTTTACCGATCCTTCTGCCAGCTGAAATGTACACACATGCAAAAGTAGACTTATAGAGGCCTCAGTTGTTGCCAGTGTTGTCCTAATGATTTATTGTCTATAGATGAAATAAAAATGTGCCCATGTACTCCCGAAATCCATCCCAGCAGGCAGGGCATCCCTGGTAATGCCCAGTGCATTCACAGAAACCCCACTGGCAGATACTAACTACGGACTCGGGGCTCGTCTTTGGAATGGCTAACACAGGAAGATGAGGCAGTCTGACCCTAATGTGCTCTGACGTACAAGTCTACTCGGTGGGCACATATGCTCACTTCCTGGCATGCTTCCAGTCCTAGGTCAGTGAGAGGTCACAGTCACGTTCCTCCCTTGGAGCGTCACTGCAGAGAGCACACAGAAAGCACGGCACGCAAGAGCACTCGCCATGGCAAACTCCCACCTCCTGGGCCCCGTCTCAGAGTGGCGTGTTGTCGTCCTCAGAGCCGGCCCCGGGGGGCTGCTCCCAGGGTGCTTTCTTGCGGGTGGCCCGCTCAGGCACCTGGTAGCCCCCGGGCCCTCCGGACTGGCTGTCGCTGCTGCTGCTGCTGACACTGCTGCCCGGCTCGGACTCCTCCTCGCTGCCTCCACCTGCATCCGCCGAAACAGACTCCGCACTGCCCTCCTCCTCGGGGACCTCGAGGCCTGTGGGCTCCTCCTCAGGGCCCAGCTCAGTCTCCTCTCCTGCTTCCTCCTCCACCGCTGGCTCTTCCTCCAGCTCTTCCGGGGGCTCCTCTTTTCTCCTTTTGACCGGCTTGACCTCTTCAACCACAGGCCTTCTGGCCAGAAAGATGTTTTTCCGGGCCTTCTCCCCTTCCGACTCTGTGGACTCTGACTCTTCTGAAGACGGAGTCGAGCTCTCTTCCTCCTCTGAGGGGGTCTCTGACTCGGACTCCTCTTCAGTGGTCTCTGACTCACTGAATTCGGACTCCTCCTCACTGTACTCAGTGTAGTCGCTGGAGGACTCCTCCTCCGACTCCACCGTGCTTTCCGTGGCTTCTTCTTGGTCCAGAGTGAGCTTCAGGTAATCTTTATCCACTTCCTCAAGGCGTCTCTGCCACTCTTCCCCCTCCAGTTCAGAGAGGCCCCTTCTGTCAGCGAGCCCTCGAACTTTCTTGAAAATCATTGGGAAGATCCTGGCTCTCTTCCACGTTGTGTACGTGGGCTCGGCTGGCGGTGGTTTCTCAATGGTGACCACTACTTCCTCCTCCTCACTAGGCTCTCTAACTTCAACTTTTGGTTTTCTAATTTTCTTTGCCTCTTCCTGAAAATCACGAAAAGGCAATTGAACCGTCAGCTGGAGGATGGTTATGCTAGGACCTTGTCGCACCCAAGTCAAGCAGGGATGACTCTGCAGAGTTATGACTGGTTTCGGAGAAGCAGACCCAGTTCTCCACCATTCATCCCCACTGTGTATGGATGCAAAGTGATCACGAAGAAGTATTTTATTTTGGCTTGTACTATACAGTACTAAAATCTAAGGCCTTCTAATTTTTTTTTTTTTCATTCAGAGTTTATTTTAGATTTTAGATCAAAGGAGAAAGAAGTAATCATCACCTCTCTTCTCTCCCTATGGTTTCTTTAATGAAATTATGTGATCGTTGACTATTATCTCAATTTTAAACAGGGTAAAGCTACAGTGATATTGATTTGTTTTCGTTTTACATAAACGTTCTAAGTACGTATTAAAGGCAAAGTGACTCATGTTAATTAAGACATACATGACAGAATTCTGTTAAACATATTGGCGGTAATATTTTGTTTCTGTCTGGCAACTGTACTTTTTCGTGATTTTTAGGTATGCCAGACAATGTGGTTACCAAAGTAACCACTGTTTTGCAAAATAGTGTTTATGTATTTGATTATAATGTTAACTTTTAGGATTTTAGAAAATATAAACTTTATTGTGGCTTTATTTCAGGCATTTAACATTTTATAGAAGGAAATATTAAACTTGCACAACAATTAATTTCCTTCTATAAACAGGGCAATGAAATGGTCTGTGTTATTAAATTTCTACATAAAATGAGTAGTAAGTGAATAGGAGGAACAATTTTTGGAATTTTTGCAGCCTGCTGTTCAGCTAGGGTAAAACATTATGGCATTACCTCTTCCTCCTCATACTCCTCCTCGGCTTCACCAACTACCTCCCCATACTCCTCTGGTCCAGCCGGTGGTAACAGACGGCGACGGCTTCCATACTGAGGCATTTCATACCTGAAACAGAAACTTACAGCCTTTAGCATGTTTCCATGAGGTCCTGGCAACCATGACTGACCTGTTTTCTTCTTTATTCTCATCGTTCAATCAGCAGATATTTATACAGTGCCTATCATGCTCCTTGTCAACTAGTTACAAAACCATAGCTAAGAACTACAACCTGTTGGCCAGTAGTTTTTGCCATGATGGTATCCTAGAGCAACTGTAAAAAGAGGTTATTTCAGATTTAAGTTTTGGGAGAGACTGTTGCTTAGAGAAGGGGATATAGTTCCTTAATTAGTTGAAGAATTTAGAGCAGGAAATAGATTCTCTGTAAAACGAATAGCTTATTCAGGACATAACGTTTCTATCTTTACGGTGAAGATCTGCTTCAAACACGGTCTGGAATAGTGTATGCATTCCTCTTCTGTATCTTTAGAAAGCAGTTAACGTGTGTATAGTGACTTGAAATGCTTATTACTGGATTCTAAAATATGTTTTCTTCTTAATTTCTCTTGGGAAAATCCTAAGGCTGACTAGTTAGATAAACATCTCATATGCACGAAATGGTGAATTCAGGAATTGAGCAAATATGTTTGACTTCTATTTCTCATTTAAATAATTTTGAATCATTTTACTGCATCATTAAAGTTGTAGTCAGTATCAACATGGAACATCAAACCAGATCTGAATGTAGAAAAATGGATAAAACTTGACTGAAACTAAGAGTAGATACGTAATTCCTTTTCAAAGATGAAACTGACGAAGTGACATTTATAACACAAGTGCTAGTAATAAGATTCAGTAGCTCATTATTCATAAAAAATATTGATACTGGATAAAAAAAAATCTGAAGATGTACCCATGCTCATAACTGTAATAATCTTGTCCGTATTCCTGGCCAGGATCAATTCCAGACTCCATGGATAACTCCTATTGTTCAGAGAAAGAAATTGCATTTGAAAATAGATTCTTATCACATTCTAGATCAAATGAATTCAGATTTATTTCCAGACCTAGAATCCCATGACTCTCAGAACACTCCTGCCAAAAAACTTTAATTACACATGTTAGTCAAACATAATCTAAACTTCTTTTTCTGGCTATAACTATCTGACGTGGAAAAAGGTTATGTTATTAGACCTGAGGGAGTAAAAACGCTACATTTTTTCTAGACGAGCATATCACTTGTTCTTGGTTAACTTTTAAAACCCTGAGGTCATCTGTTATTTAAATAACAATTCTGTCGGTCCAGATCTAGTAATAAGTCAGGAAAAAAAATATTACTAAAAAGTGGGGAATTCACAGGCTTCATGGTGGATATGGACAATGACCCTCACTTGTGCTTTATCACTTGAATGTAGTTGCCCAAAATCTAATCAGAAAATGTGATTTAAAAAAAAGGATTTGGGTTTCTCTTGAAAAATAACAAGATGGCAGCGCAGCACTGGGCTCCATTTCCATGTCATGAATTTAGTTGCTGGCACTATTCCTGGTAGCAGTTCGTGTTCTACTTACTGCTTGTCCTCTGCCATACTGTTTACGCCCTACCCATCACCACAGCACAGACCTCCCATGTGCTCCTCACTCGCATCTAATAACCTCCATTCGCTTCCACTATTTCCTTTGATGCTTCTTCATGTTACTACTCTCTGGTGACTTTGCAGCTTATAAATACTTTGGCAAAGGTGTCCAGTTTCAATGGTAAGACTATTTCAGTTTACCCACCAGAACGGTTCCAACAAACAAACAGAAGAATCAGCAGTGCCATGTTTTAGCAGGGACATGGGATAACTAGATCTCTCAGACACTTTATAAATCCACCAAATCCTTTGGAAAATGTTTGGCAATAATACAAAAGTCAAATATATGCATATCCTTTCACAAAAATTCAATATAGATCCATTTATATGCTAAACATAAGTGTGTACAATTGTGCACCAAAAGACATCATTTGTAACAACCAAAAACTGGAACTGAGGCACAAGTCCATGAGATACACACTACTGCATCACCCAGTAACAGAAATGACTCTCCCAAACAGAACAATGAGCAACAGAAGTCAGGTGTCAATGGAACACAGGATTCTATCGAATCCTGTTTGCATAAACTTTGAAAAGAGACACACTAATCTGTGTCTTAGAAGCCAGGTGAAACTTTTCAAGCTGTGATAATTGTACCTTGGATAAACCTCATTGGCTCCGGACAAACAGAAACTAAAAGAATCTGCAATCACCAGACCTGCCCTACAAAAAATATTGCAAGGGGTCCTCTAATCAAGAAAGAGAACCCAACAGTAACATAGACCGGAAAGGAACAGAGACAATAAACAGTAACAGTCACCTTCCAGGCTAGACAATGGCTCTAAATTTATTTCTTTCAATAGTTATCCTGAAAGTAAATGGGCTAAATGACTCAATCAAAAGACACGATATGAAGTTGATAGCAAGTCTGCAAGAAACTCTTTTTAGACCCAAAGACACCTCCAGATTGAAAGTGAGGGGGTAAAAAACCATTTACCATGCTAATGGACATCAAAAGAAAGCTGATGTAGCAATCCTTTTATCAGACAAATTAGATTTTAAAAGATTGTAGTAAGAAATAAGGTAGGATATAAAGGGTCTATCCAACAAGAAGTTGTAACAGTTGTAAATATTTATGCCCCTAACATGGGAACATCTGATTATATAAGCCAATTGATAACAAAATCAAAGAAACACATCAGCAATAATAGTAAGGGACTTTAATACCCTCTCACTGAAATGAACAGATCATCCAAGCGTAACATCAACAAGGATCTAAGGGCTTTTAAATGACACACTGGACCAGATGCACTTCACAGATAAATTCAGAATATTCCATCCCAAAGTTACAGAATATACATTCTTCTCTAGTGCACATGGAACATTCTCCAGAATAGATCATATCCTGGGTCACAAATCTGGTCTCAGCAGGTACCGAAAGATTGGGATCATTCCCTGCATGTTTTCAGACCACGATGCTTTGAATCTTGAACTCAATCACAAGAGGAAAGTTGGAAAGAACTCAAATACATGGAGACTAAAGAGCATCCTACTTAAGAATGAATGGGTCTAACCAAAGAATTAAAAAATTTCATGGAAACAAATGAAAATGAAGCAACTATATGCCAACAAATCAGACAATCTGGAAGACATGGATGCAGTACTAGAGATGTATAAACTACCAAAACCGAACCAGAAAGAAATAGAAAACCTAAACAAACATGTAAAGAAGAATTAATACCTATTCTCCTGAAACTGTTCCAAAACATAGAAATGGCAGGAAAACTTACAAACTCATTTTACAAGGCCAGCATTACCTTGATCCCAAAACCAGACAAAGACCCCGTCAAAAAGGAGAAATACAGACCAATATCCTTGATGAACACAGATGCAAAAATTCTCACCCAAATACTAGGCAACAGGATCCAACAGTACATTAAAAGGATTGTTCACCACGCCCAAGAGGGACTGATCCTGGGCTGCAAGTTTGGTTCAATATCTGCAAACCAATCAGTGTGATACAACACATTAATAAAAGAAAGAACAAGAACCATATGATTGATTCAATAGATGCAGAAAAAAGCATCTGACAAAGCACAGCATCCCTTCTTGATTAAAACTCTTCACAGTGTAGGCAAAGAGGAAACATACCTCGATAGCATAAAAGCCGTCCTATGAAAAGCCCACAGTGAATATCATTCTCAGCGGGGCAAAACTGAGAGCTTTTTGCCTCAGGTCAGGAACACAGCAGGGATGTCTACTATCACCACTGCTGTTCAGCATAGTTCTAGAAGTCCTAGACTCAGCAGTCAGACAACAAAAAGCAATAAAAGGCATCCGAATCAGCAAAGAAGCAGTCAAACAAACTCTCACCCTTTGCAGATGATAGGATAATTTACGTGGAAAACTCAGAAGGTTCCACCCCAAAAATGCTAGAACTCATACAGGAATTCAGTAAAGTGTCAGGATATAAAATCAACACACAGAAATCAGCTCCATTTCTATACAGCAACAGCAAGACAGAAGAAAGAGAAATTAAGGAGTCAATCCCATTTATAATTGCACCCACAACCGTAAGATACTTTGGAATAAATCTAAGTGAAGAGGCAAAGGATCTGTACTCAGAAAACTGTAGAACACTCACGAAAGAAATTGAGGAAGACACAAAGAAATGGAAAATTGTTTCATGCTCATGAATTGGAAGAATAAATACTGTGAAAATGTCCGTGCTACCTAAAGCAATCTACCCATTCAATGCAATCCCTATCAAAATACCATCAACTTTTTTCAAAGAACTGGAATAAATAAACAGTTCATGATTTGTCTTATTCAATGATAGCTTGCTTCCAATAGGATCAAAGGTCTTATCTAACTCCTAGAGAATGAAGATAAAAATTTGGAATTCCAGCCCCCCACAAGCAAGAGAGAAGTGATTAGCTTGCTTACTTATTTATATATTTGTTTCTACTTTAAACCACCCCTTCTCCATCTTATAAAATCATGCCACTTGATTACATTCTGCTGCGTGTTGGACAGGCCTTAAAGTGACATAAGATATAGTGGAGATTCAGTGAGGTCGAAAAGAAAAAGAAAATTGATACCTCTGGTTTAAGAAGAGAAGGCCTCAGCAGTTGCTGTTGCTGCCAAAGGAAATTAAAATAGAAAAAGGTTTAGAGGATAATTCAGGTGGAAAAGGGAGATCATGATTGAAAAGAGAAAAAAAAAAAAGGCCACAGCTTAAAACTGGTTACTGTAGGATTATGAATTATTATTCATGTGATAGCTACCAATATTTTGACTATTGATGTTGGAATGTGAAATAACAAAGAATTATTTTCTGTTTCATCACTGTTTTAGGTAACATCAAAGTTAATAACCTTTAATCGATGAAACCTATAAGTAACTTTTCAGTTCAAACTTCTTCTTCGTATAAAAAGTTATTTACGATTTTAAAAGCACTTCAAGTGCCACAGGATTATTTTGAACAAGTTTAACCTTGTTTTAAATTGCCCCTCTTTTTTCTCCCCACATTAAATGTAATCAGGTTCATTAGTGAGAAGGGTAGAGCATAACATAATCATATAGTCATAACACATCGTCATAGTTAAGAAATGTTCCCTGTTTTTTTTTTACCAAAATGTGGGTTACTTACAGCCGAACACTGAGCATGCTTTCAGAAATTCTTTTGTGATCCGGGAAATTGTCCTTCCTTGGATTTTGCAGGGATCACTCCTTACTGACTCTCAGCCTCACCCCTACTCATTTAAAGGAAACACAGTCTCTACGGTGTGTTTCCTGATAATTTATACTATAATACGTGCAAACAAGAGACATACTTCAAATTTTGGTTTATCCACTCTTTGAGGGATACACAACACAAATCTTAAAGGGAATGACATTGGGAATGTGGGCAGAAAAATCCTGGGAAACAATTCCAGTGGCGAATCAGCCTTCGGAAATGGCCCGGAGAATAGCCAGGTGACTGAAGGCAGGACTGACTTTTCATGAGGCTATGAGCGAGTTTGTCTACTGAAGGCATTCATTTAAAGGAGGAAGAAGTTGGCGGTAAAGACAGTCTGATCCAATCTGTTACCTGTCTCTGAAAACCAGTTATTCTGAAATGCATTCAGCCTGATTTCCAAATACATTAGGACTCACGTGTTCTCAGCTGGTGGCCAGTTAGGTCGTGAGCTCATTTCACTCTCTTGACTGGGAAGCTGTCTGCTAAATTCGGCTAGGTTCTCAGTGACCTCATTGGCAGTACCACTTTGAGAGCAGCTAGCCAGATCCCACTGGCCTGAATCGCCACTATCTTCTCCAAATGAACACTATGGAAAGCCTGAGCATTCTCATAGTCTGACTTTTTAAAACTCTTTAAGATCTTAAGTTCTAATGTGTTAGGAAGGAGACTTGGACTCTGGTAAAAGAAAACAAAGGTTTCTAAAGTACATTTCTAGCCTTAGAAAAATAAATTTGGGTGAATGTCACAATATTGAGTAACAGCAATTCAGGAAACAATAAATCTATCCTTGAAAAGGTGAGCATTTGATATTTGTTCACCCACTTAAAACCTCAGAACAAAATAGCAACAGGTATAAAAGAGAATAAATAGCCCAGCATACTTCTAAGTTTTATTGAAGTAAAGGAAAATATCCTAGCTATGCAAGAAAAGTCAGTCCTGCCTAGAACGTAAATATTTTCCTAGTAAGCTTTATATAACACTGTAAAGCCCTTACCTCTGATGCATAAACTCTCCTGCAAGGCAGAAACAGAGAGATCAGTATTAAACAACTTAGAGTTTCAGATTCAAGAAAAGTATAGATAAGATTTTTTTTTTTTAAAATCTGAAAAATGAGAAGGTAATTTTTACTAAAAATTGTCTCAGTGAGAAATACATTTTGTGGCAGTTTATCAGGACAGGAAGGTCGCAGTTTCATGCCTCTATGACTACAAAGTTAGCAGGCCAGACCCTAGCGCCAGCATACCTTAAATAATCTATTTTATCTCAGTGGTATATAGTAACACACTTTGACTCTGTTATTGTCAATTGGATTAAAAATATTCTACATCATCTCTAACCTTGCCAAGTCTTGATACATTTAAGATACTCATTTGGGGAAAAGATGTGTTTTATACATGAAGAGTATATTGGTACAGAATGAGAAATGACCTCAATGACTAGAATATATTCTTCCAAATGTTTGTAGGATGCTTTTTGTCTGTTTGCATCAATTGATTCTAAAAATAATGAATGCAGAATACAGACTAGCTTTTAAGGGTCAGTGACATTATTAGACATAAATATAAGAGCTAAATATTTTCACTTCCATTTCATATTCAATATTAAATAAAGATTTATAAAGTTCATTGGCCACAAGTTGAGGAAATGTTCAGCTGTACTTGGGGTGGGGGGGAGTATACAATGCTTTCAGTGTTGAATGCCATTAGTTATAAAGATTTTTGTCTATTACTTACAGTTGATCTAAAGTACTATATGTATCTTATGCTGTTATGAACCACGTATATAAAGCTAGGGACTGCTATGAAGAGGCACATACATATCTCTCTAGAAAATTTCTTTAAACTAGTACAAGGCCTTTACAAAATAAGTCTACTTATCTGAACAAATCTTAAGTGGTTAAGGCATTGCTGATTGAAATGGTTGGTAATAATGGTAGTATAATGCTTACTTGATCCTGTTGGCAATTCATTATTTGAAATGGTTCTTTAGTGAATTTTGCTTCTATGGTTCTGCCAATAGTTATGAGAATGATAATCCTTCTAAAGCATTTAGAAGTTTCCTCAATTTGTATCTTTCAGACATAGATAGAGACACTCATACTCTGGTTTTAGTAATGAGAATTGAGTCACATACATGAAATAAAGTGTCCAGCCAAAGCTGAACTTTATTCTCCAGGATATTTAAGCTAACTTTTTTCATTAGCAGTATTTTCCATACATTTAGAGAATGAAATATCAAGAGATGAGCTACATGTTTCCATTAACCTTTCTGTTACCTTTCATGGGGTTATTTGTATTGTCTGTCTCAGCTCAAAAGCAGAAAGTCACTTGGAAAAAGCACACAACAGAATCAGTGGGTATCACTGTCTGTGGGCTTACAACTAACATGACTTCCTTTTGGTCCTTCTAAGACCAGTCATATAATATTAATGCATTTTTATGTAGATTATATTCAACGTGTATTAATTATTTACTTCACACTACTTCTTTACATTAAGTTTACTTTTAACAATAAGGAAAATGTACGGTAACCTACTTTTGTCTTTTAAAAAGGTATCTAATAATTTCTTATGCACTAATTAGAGCATAATGATGCAGAAGAAAAAAATGATATTCTTTCTGTGGAGGTTGGTTGTCAGGTTGTGGGGGCTCAAGGATTGAGAAGAGGAATAGTATTTTGTCCTGTGACTCATAATAGGTCTTACGCAGATGTTGTAACTGACTTCTATGATGAAGTTGGAGATCTCCAAATAGAATGTATATGTAAAAAACTGAAGTAAATATAAAACATGGGAATGGAGGGGTGCCTGGGTGGCTCAGTGGGTTGAGCCTCTGCCTTCAACTCAGGTCATGATCTCAGGGTCCTGGGATCAAGCCCCGCATCGGGCTCTCTACTTGGCGGGGAGCCTGCTTCCTCCCCTCTCTCAGCCTGCCTCTCTGCCTACTTGTGATCCCTCTCTCTTTGTCAAATAAATAAATAATATCTTTTAAAAAAAGAGGATAATAATTTAAAAAGAAAACCAAACAAACATGGGAATGGATGTTTCATTTAAAAAGTACAAGATACTAGTAAGATATTTAGACAAATATTATAAAAATGATGTAGAAAACATTACAAATTCAGTAAGGCTATAGATACCTACATGAGATTGTTATTTGGAGTTTTTATATTTCTTTGTAATTATTTAGAGAATACATTCTCAAGGAATTGCTTTCATATATTCAAGAAGTTGATACAAAATATTTTTAAAAAACACAGTCATATCAAAGGCTTACACAATCATGAATAATACCTTGTCAGAGTCCGCCAAATAGCACAAGTTCTCATGCATATGACCAGCTGCCAACAAAAACTCCAACTGAAGTGTTTCAGTGAAAGAGAGAAAAAAATCATGTTCAAGAACCCCAAGAAGTAAGTTACTCTGGATTTGGATGAAAAGAATCTGAATCAGAGGAGCTAATGAAAATAATTAGATCTATAGATTTTTTTTAAACTCTGATACCATTAAACAGGGATAACAGACCACGTTCTTGAAGAAATGTCACATAATGTAAGAGCTGAACAAAACCGCTGAAATGATGCATTATAAGGCCCTCCCTGAGCCTATATTAATATACTTAAAATGGAAAGTATCAAGCAGGACCTTTGCCTATATTTTGAAACTTCGCTTTGTTTTCCTGTGCAGACTTTTATCTTCTATAATAGAATTGCAGAATAAATCAAATAATTACACCTGTATTCACAGTGGGGAATTACAAATACAATTTATTCCATGTGTTATATGGGAAAACAGTGTAATTACTTGCTGGTCAAGTGTAACTTTCATTAAAAAGATAGGAAGGTAACACTTAGCTGAGCTGATGCCATTAAGAATTTACCAAGTTGAGTTCTGAGAACAACTACAACATAAAATTCCTTTCTCAAGTATATATTTTTATCCTCTTTGCCTAATATAAAGAGTAAAGGCCTATATAAAACTGAGGACAGTTTGCTAGATATATTCCTTCTTGATTTCTATTTCAAGTGTTAATATTTTCCTCATGCAACTAAATTTGGATGATTTATCTAGAGTAAAGAAAGGTAAATAGAAATGAAGCCAATATGCTGTTCTAAAATTTTGATGAACATTTTATATTATTGATAAACTTAATAAAAATATTTATAATTTTCATCAAATATTAACTAAAATCATACTAGGCAAACCTTCGTAGACATTTATTAAACCTTATTTTGATGAAACTTATTAGGATTTTATTAAACTGGAGAAAAATATTTTCCTTGAAGGAGAATCTTCTGATAAAATTATGAGATGATATCAACATGTGGACAAGCAAAACTGAAGACCACTTTAAACATCTGTGGGAACACTGAAATGTCTTACAAAAGCCATAACTCAAGATTTATTTTCATTGTAAAGAAGGGAAGAGAAAGCATAATGAGAAATAAACAGAATAAGACCATCATTAAAAAAGTAAAAGATTTTTCAAATGTATAAGCATACTAGTAAGATAAAAGCAAGCCAGAGTAAAGAATGTCATTGTAAGAAAACAGATGACTACATCTTACAGCACCTGGGATTTATTTCCAAATACCATATCTGTCAAGTCCTGCATTTCTGGATACATGACATTTTTACTTTGGTAGTGTTTAACCTTACCAAATACATAGACTTCAAGGAGAGAACAGAACCTATGATATCATTTTGGGGGGATTATTTTAACAGTTTGCTTTTTTTTTTTTTTCCCCCAGGAGCATTCAGTAAAACTATGATCAGAAAGTAAACGTAGGGGGCTCCTGGGTGGCTCAGTGGGTTAAAGCCTCTGCCTTCAGCTCAGGTCATGGTCCCAGGGTCCTGGGATCGAGCCCCGCATCGGGTTCTCTCTGCTCAGCAGGGAGCCTGCTTCCCCCTCTCTCTCTGCCTGCCTCTCTACTTGTGATCTCTCTCTGTCAAATAAATAAATAAAATCTTTAAAAATAAAAAAAAAAGAAAGTAAACGTAGGTATTACTGCATTAACATGTTAACAGGCCATTGGTTTAAACTGGAGATGTAAGTTTCTTGCCCATATATTCCCATTGAAAAATAGATTGAAATTACTTACTTTTTAAATAAATGCAGACAAATAATGCTACTTCGTAGTTAAGAAAATTAAGGTAAATCTATGAGTTAGAAATGATGAGGTTAATAATCTTTAAAAGTAAAAAAAATGAGGAAAAAACAGCATTGCACTGAGTTTGGGGTAAAAGAATGGAATCTTCTTTAATGTTCAAATTTGCCTCCACTCGAAGATTTCGGTCAACAAAAGAGTTGTCCAGTTAAAATAGGAAAATCAACATTACAGTGAAGTAGATTGACTGTCAGGTGGGTTCTCAGTGTCCTCGACAATACTGTGCAAATTCCCCTGGTCGCATTCAGTCACTTCCACATTTTCTGTTTCTGGAGAGCAACGAGTTTCCAATCTTGGGTTGTGTGTTGGCGGGAAGTTTTTTTCAATTTGACTGTACATGTTAGCTACCGACTTTTCAAGGTCGGCTAAGTTTTTAATATGCTTGAGGATGCCCTTTGGTTCTCTCTGGGAATTTGCACAACATGCTGTTGCAAATGCTGGCGGCTGTCTGACAGAGGACTCCAATTCCTCGGGGGGCGTCACACTGACAGTGCGCTGAACAATGGGGACACAGACACGCTTAGTGGACGGAGCCCAAGTTGGAAGAGACAGAGAAGAAGGAAGAGGGGAGGATGGGAGACGGAGGGAGGAGAGTGAAGGTAGATGAGGTGAAGAAGAAGAGGAAGGAGAAGGAGGGGCAGAAAGTGAAAGAATTGGAGGAGGAGGGGGAAGACAGGAAAGAGCAAATGGACTAAGGACAAGAGGTGGGGGAGGAGGGGGAGGAGGGGAGATATTTGGTGGTTTGGGAATGATTTCAAAAATGTTTCTTCTGGCTTCAACTGTCAACGTACATGTGGGTGTCTCTCTCCTAAAGCCTGGGGAATTTAAAACGCAGGGCACTGAAGGAGAAAGTTCCAAGCAACAGTCAGCAGGGGAAAGGATGACATCAGGTTCTGACAGGAGTTCCATGGTTCTTGAAACAGTTGGCAAAGTGGAGTAAGAAGAATGAGATGAAGGAGAGAAACAGGAGGAGTCTGAAGACAGAGATTCCAAGGGCTCTGCTCCATGTGTGAGCAGTGATTCACCTTGCCTTGTTTCTCCTCTCTTGGGTACATTCGAATCTCCAACAGTAGACTGGGGACTGCTGCTACCTTTTCTCTTTGGAAAGGTTCTAGTGGTTTCCTTTCCACCTTCCTGCCTGTTGCTCTGCCACTGCTCCAGCTCTATGGCTTCTGGTCTCTTGGGAAGTTCCCACACTGGTCTCTGAGGGAAGCAGACTGGCTGATTCCACATCCTCTGAAACATTTCTCTTGGGCCCCTCAGGGACTTACTCCTGGCTTGTGTTTTGGGTAAAAATGAGTCTATAAAATCTGTTCTTAGTAAAAAGTCTGAATTTGCTGGTCCTGCATCTAGAGTTTCCTTATAAAGTGTACCGTGGATACTTGAGGCGTCCTCGTCAGACATCAGTGTGAATTTTCGTACCGACTTGGGCTGGTTGTTCTTAAGAGATCCATCTACATGAGCCTGCTTGTGAGCCTCAGTAGTGCTGGAAGAAAAGGGCATCACAGTTTGGGGACTTTTCCTGTCTTCCGAGACTGACTTACTTCCCCTGCTTTGTTGGAAATGGTAGAGAAGGAAAAGACTTGAAAGAAAAGAAGATAATGAAATGTAAGGAAACAGGTCGTGACACAGCTTTCATGAGAAAGATGTCTTTATGGTTCTCATTACGACTTCAAAATATAGAAGGCCAAATAACACTAATCTACCGAAGCCAGACATTACTTTCATGTCCCTGTACTCAAAAAGGCAGGGCAAGAAAAGCTTGAGAGCTGTGAGTAGCATGAGAAATTTTCATATTTTTTTTTTTTTAAGAAAATGCATCAATCCGTAGAATGATTTTTTGGGGGTGGGGTGGGGGACTAGTGAGTTTGATACAGCAAAGTATCCATGACCACACATAACAGTTCTCTTATGTAGAAATCATGATTCCAAATTGCAAACCAGCATTTTGGCTAATGGTTTCATATCCTTTGCTTTGGTGGACAATGCTCAGAGCTGGCTGTCTGGGGAGAAGGATCCTTTGCTGTATCTGAATCAGTACCATTATCTCTCCTCTCAGTCATTCTGTCCTGGAGCTAAAAGTACTCTCCCGTCTGAGACAAAGCTTACAAGAGAATACAGAAAGGAATTCTCTATTCCCTAGATTAGAGAATTAAAAGTCTTCAAGGACAGGTGAGAGAATTTCTCTCATAGAGGTCAAAATCACAGTTGAGAAATTGAAGTTACGCTAGAACCTGAACAGAGATTATTTCTTTCTATTTCAATCTTAAGCTGAATCCACTATAAAATGCTATAAACAGTACAAATAACAAGAGGGGCTATTGGCATTTATTTTGAATATGATCTGTGTCAAATTTTGGTCAAGACTGACTTTAATGAAAAGACTTATGTTCCAGTCACATAGTTTCAATATCCCTGGAAGATCTGCTCATACACTGACACTGAGTCACAGTGGCTGAGAGTGATAAAGTCAACTAAGGGAAAGGACATAAGCACATATCACTATTGAAAGCACTGGGACCTTTCGCCCAGGAAGGCTGGCGGGTTTTGAATGCCCTCTCCTCAGACTTTGCTCTCAAGCTCAATATTTAATATTTACCCACACAGCAGGAATGAAATAAAAGGAAATACTGTGAATAAAAATTAAGTAGCCAGGGCACCTGGGTGGCTCAGTGGGTTAAAGCCTCTGCCTTCGGCTCAGGTCATGATCCCAGGGTCCTGGGATAGAGCCCCGCGTCGGGCTCTCTGCTCTGCAGGGAGCCTGCCTCCTCCCCTCTCTCTCTGCCTGCCTCTAGGCCTACTTGTGATCTCTGTCTGTCAAATAAATAAATAAAATCTTTAAAAAAAAATTAAGTGGCCACGCTGAAAAGCAAAACAGGCGAGACAATACAATGCTATATATAAAGCTGAGGCTGTTACTGTGCCTTTTCACAAAGAAACAAACTCCTAAGGAAGAACCCTCACAGCTGGACTTGGGGTATCAGGCCTGAGCAGATAACTCGGGAAGAACAGACAATCTGGATTCAATAGACATCAAATCCTTCTCCTGATCTTGCAAAGTCATTTTTTTTTTTAATGGACTTGACACATTATTTGGTACTTTTAAAAAAAAAATAATTTGTTCTTGCTAAGAACTACCTATATAATGGAACTGTACCACCTTGGATTAAGAGACATCTTGAAATACTTTTAACAAATTAAGAGCAAGAATTTTGATATACTTCTTGGGAGGTACAGGTTTTCAAGGTACCAAAAGTGAATGAGATATGAGAGAGAGAAATTTCTTTTTAAAAGCAAATGACTCCATGGTAAAATGATGAAGATCACTACATTTAGAGTAAAACTTAATCTATTCTCTTGTATCTTTTTTCCCTAACACCTCATATTAGAATGATATTATTTACTTACTTATGCCTATGTATCCACAGGTGGGAAAGAGAAAACATGCGACAGAAAAAAAAAAAAAAAAAAGAGTTTGAACTATAGTTACTTTGAGGTGGTTATGAAAATACTAACAGGAATTTGATGTAAACATTTGATATGCATATCCAGAAAAGAAAATGCATGTTTTTATATTTTGTTTTTACTCTGATATGTAATAATATTTTAGATAAAACCATATGGCATTTCTTTGGTTGTCTCATCCCATAAAATAGCTAGCTATCTGTTTCCTATACATAGGTAAAATTTACCTTCGCTACATATGGTTGATTTCAATCCCGAAACAGATATTTTAAATGATAATCTAAGAATTGTTTCTATGTCCTAACTGAAAAATTAGTCCACACTGATTTTTAAAGAAGATAAACATACTGTTTGGAAGAAAGTAAATATACAAGTACTGTGGTGATTATTACAGACCATCTGTCGAATCTGTATGACATTATTAGATCATTAAGATTCTTTTCAAAATGACCTTTGATTTTGTTTGTTTGTTTAAATTTGGTAATAATTCCTTTGGAGCTAATCTATTTTCTAGTAACATATGGTTAGAATCCCTATATAAAGCTTTTAAATAGATAGGTTAAACATTTGTTAAAGATGTTTAAATGTGAAGAACACAAAATACTTCATTAAATACATATTATAATTGAAAAATTCTCTAAGTCTACCACAATTTTTCAAATGAAAATAGTCCTTAAGTGTTGCTATTTGAAAATGGTCACCATCAAACTGTATTTATTCCAGATGATGTTACAGTCTATCTACTTTTGTTAAGTAAAAATGAATATATGCCACTAACTTCAGATAACAGAAAACTCTACACATAAATCTTTTTAGTTTCTGAGTATTTTTTTTTTTTCTGGAGAGAGGTGGTTAATATAAAGAGAATCAAATCATATTGGCTCAATTCCTACATTCACCAGTAATTCAAAAAGAGACCATAATTTTCAACTCAATTTAAAAAATTTAAAAACTACATTTAAAGCATGAATCCTTTACCATATTATTTTAGAAATGGAATGCCAAGCATTCAACTGTCAAACATTAAATTCAATTTTAGCATTAAGATACACAATATTAAAATCTGTTTTAACATTTTTAAAACTTAATATCACCTTGTGTAATAATATTGATACATGTGTTTAAAACCACTTGTCTCATTAAAAGGTAAATTTCATAATTTTTGAGGCTTGCTTTATTCCTACTAGTAAATGCTACAAATGTAACACAGTTGAATGTGTTTTAGTCCCTCAACTCCACCAAATTCCAGTTGATAAACGCTGTCTTGGATTTAATTCAGTCATATTCAGAATTTTATCATCTCCTTGGTTGTTCTGCATCTCATGTCCCAAAATAGTTACTCTTGAATTTTTAAAACATAGGCAAGTTAAGTAAGTCCAAAAGGAATCAGGTTATGAGGGTAGCATCATTATGGAAAACATCTGTGAAGTCTTTTCACAGTAATCTAAGAGTTTTCAAATGTGGATGATTTAATATTGCTTAGAGGTTCCGGATATTGTAGAAGCAATATTAAGCATTACAGCAGTCTCTTTTGAGAAGAATATAATGAAAAGTATATTCTTTAAGTGGTTGGATATTTAATTCTTTATTTGGGTTTCAGATTTTCATTACTCTATGTTATGACATCCTAAGATTGCATCTTTAAAAAGTCTGTGATTTAAACCATCACATCAGTTTTAAACTTCCAAACAGGAGTTGGCTTTTGATACCAAATCAGGATTATGATTTGGTTTTTTTGTTTTTGATTTTTGTTTTTGATTTTTTTATGATAGTTTTATTTCTCCTTATTTTCTATGAGAAAATTTCAGAACGTATTTTTAATTCTGGAGAAAAAATATATGCGTAATTGTGAAGGTTTACAAATAGACTATTCAAGCTAGACATCTGCAAATTTTCTCTTACTAAGTTTTTCATGTTCTTTTTTGGTTTGCTTGTGTTTTGGTTATTATTTTTCAGCTCAACCTTTCTTAGGTTCTCATCCTAACAATTTAGTTTTTTTGTTTTGTTTTGTTAAGAAAAATGTCATAATTCAAGGAACCTGCATTTCCGCATCAGGTTGACATGAAATACTCACCCCCCAGCATCCATCACACCCACCTGTCTGTAAGAGCGCCTGCAAAGCCTACTTACATGGTGCTGTCCCCCAGCTCTTCATACAGGTGTGCCCCAGGGGGAGGCGGGGGCGGCGGGGGTGCGGCCACAGGTGCGGGCGTGGGTACAGCAGGCTTGGTCGCGGGTAATGCGGACTGGATTCGTGCAGTCTTGGTGCACTCAGCTTGGCGGCTTGGGTAAGGCAAGGAAAACTCATTTTAGAAATCGTTTACTTATCAGTTGGCATACAAACCTACTAAAAACATCAGGAACACAAATACTCCAGCTTATAAACTGGTAGAATTACAGAAGCATCCCCACTGAGTAGCGTTCTCTCGTACCCTCTCCCCCTTCAGTTCTTTAAAATATTGACCCTTGAATAACAGGATTCAGTAGAAATATTGGCAAGTTAAGTGAAATAGTAATATTAAAGATGGGGTCAAGCTCTCTTGAAAACTGTGATTAATTTGGCGGTTATTGAGTAATCTCTCTCATCATGTGAGGCAAGGCTGAAGATGCATAATGTCGGAGATACATAATTTTTCCTTATCTTTCATCATCCATCTATTTTTAAAAAAAGTTATTCTATTTAAAATGATCTGAAACATTTTTTTTTTTAGATTTTATTTATTTGACAGACACAGATTACAAGTAGGCAGAGAGGCAGGCAGAGAGAGAGGGAGAAGCAGGCTCCCTGCTGAGCAGAGAGCCTGATGCGGGGCTCGATTCCAGGACCCTGGGATCATGACCTGAGCCGAAGGCAGAGGCTTTAACCCACTGAGCCACCCAGGCGCCCCGATCTGAAACATTTTTGACATTCATTGACAGAAGCCATGTAGTTTACAGAGGGTCCCCCTCCTAAAGGATGGGGAGGGCTAGCTTTGGTTTCCTTTCGGTACCTGGGACACCTGGCATTCTGGCCCTTTCTGAATGTCCTGAACACCAACTATGAGCTCCTTCCTCAAAACCAAGATCTCAGAGTGTGGAAGCTATTATAGCAAACGACCTTTTTCACTTCTCCTCCCTTGGATCCCAAAGTTAAAGAGCAGCTCAATTCTGTACATACAAAAGCACAAGGGAAGTTGAAGTCACATACATGGTCCTGGCAGACTGACTGCTTTATCAGGGGTACGTGGGGTTTTTCTTTTCATAGTATATAAAATCATACATAAGATGTTAATTATACTTACACTTTAAACCTGTTTCGAAAGGCAGTGAGTAAGAAAAGAGAGAGAGAGAAAGCTACATTAGAAGGGCTGCATTCATAATATTTTAACATCTGATTTATTCTACACGATGAATAATTTACTGGTTAAATGCATAATGACACAGACTTAATGACACAGCAGGGAAGCTAAGTTTTTTAATTCAGAAAGTCAGAATGGGGGAGCATTTCATCATTACCGGCAACATCACAGATGCTGTGAAAACATTCATTACAGGGAAACAAAGAAATGAACTAAATGTAGCAAGCAGCACTGGATGAATACGTGGAGACAGGAGTTCGAACTCTGAGAGAGAAATGGAAGAGTAAAGGTGATCTGATTCTTGTAATGGGCTTCTTGGCGACCTGGGTGTGTTACAGGAATGGACTCAGGCACCAGGCTCTGATTACCCCCGGGGTCTCCCTTTGAGGCAGGGGCTGGGATTCAAAGGTGCCCCTCCTGGGTCATGAATCCTTGGCACTTTTCCCCATATTTGCCCCTTAACTTTGCCACATACAGATGACTTTCAGAAACAAATGTTAATACAAAAGACTAGCCATCCATCCGGTCTTACTTAGAAGCAGAACATAAAAGTATGAAAGTTAGATTTGTAAATATTAGAATGCTACTTTGAAACACGAGCAGCATAAAACATCATTTTGTTTAATTCTGTCCATCTACAAAAAGCAGTAACTAAAATGAATTCACAGGGTGTCGACCTGATTACTGAACTACAAAAAGAATAATAATTAAATCCATCTACATAATGTAGAAACGCTAAGCATCTTAGTGGTTTATTACAATTCAGACCTCTGGGTATAACGTGCTTCAGTTTGGGTCCCTGCATCATGTGCCCAATAGAAGAGGTCTCCTCCCTGGTTTATTGCTGCTGCATTCCTTTGGGAAGCAGCGCAATAAGTAAGAATAACTGTAAGACAGATTAACATGAAAATGAATTCTGGCTTGATGGTTTAAAAAATTAAAACCATTTGTCCAATATTAAGTTGGTTCATGAAGGCTTTAGAGCCAGTGCACCAGGTGATTTGTTAAGGATATTTCAGACCCCAGTGTATCAACCTAAATACTGTGTTTGCAACTTCACATTGCTTTTGTGATGAAAGATACTCTTACAGCATCTTCTTAACCTGTCCCACAACTGTTTTCACCAGTCATTATCCATATGGATATATTTGAAGTGCTTAGACTTCTATCACGAAGATTCCCCACAACCAGTGTCAAATAACGAAGAGCTTACTAGACAACCTCGAGTACAGATGCTTACATTAGCTATTATTACTTTACTACTTCAAAGGGCCTAAGTAAGATTTTAAATGGAAGTATTTGCCCGTAAGGCCTGCCCCACCACAATATCCTGTCACATGTCACAACGCAGATTCTCGTAGGGCTCCCCAGGAAGGAAGAGGCCCCATGGAAAATGACATGTGGCATACTACGATTTTTAAATGGTTTTGCCAACACTGCGGGCACTTACACAGAAGCAAATTTAACGACATGGATACAGCGCTGTCATGATGGTGTAACCTTCCTTGGGACCAGGGATATCTGTACATGACACTTCCTAGGATCCCTGCTACCTTCGCTCCCGGAGGTCTGTTCCCCAAAGAGCACAAACGCAGTCCTGCTGGAGGAGAGCATCTTAGGAGCACGGGCACATTGACTTCGCTGTGCACAATGCTGGAAGTTTGTTTTGTTTTCCCTTCAAGGAAGGCCATACAGCAGTCCCCAAGAGGTCTGCACCATTCCTGTTTTTGGACTCCAAAGCCATGTTCACAGGGCTGGCTTTGGGACGATGCAGGTTTCAATAAGGGATACTCACTGTCTGTAGCTGACCAGAACGACCAGAATGGCAGGGATACAGCAGAGAATGATGATGAAGGCAAGCGCCAGCAAGGCCCCCTCCGTGTAGCCCAGACTTTCTCCTCGCTTTTTAATGCTGGTCACTGCCTCCGGGGTCCGGATCTCCAAAATGCGTCCTCCTTCCCCATAATGCGGTTGGAAGTCTTTGTTGATATCAAGCAGTTTGCCATCCAGAAACCTGCGTTGTCAGATAAATCATAAAATCAATGATGTTAACAGAAAGTTCTCTTTTATTTTTTTTTAATTTTTTTTTAAAGATTTTATTTATTTATTTGACAGAGAGAGAGAGAGATCACAAGTAGGCAGAGAGGCAGGCAGAGAGGGGGTTGGGAAGCAGGCTCCCTGCTGAGGAGAGAGCCCGATGCAGGGCTCGATCCCAGGACCCTGGGATCATGACCTGAGCCGAAGGCAGAGGCTTTAACCCACTGAGCCACCCAGGCGCCCCAAAAAGTTCTCTTTTAAATGGAATTTTCCAATATCTTTTAGTATTTCCTTTGAAAGTATTTTTGTAAAATATTTTTAAATAATATAGAAAATAATTTTATAATATCTCATTACTATTTTTACTAAGTATTAAGTATTTAATATTTAAATAAATTTGTGATAGCTTTTATTATTTTCTTTAATTGAATCACAAGCTGAGTCAGTCTTATAAATAAATATATAAAAAGAGCAATGAAGAAGAGCAACTACCACCTGTATACATGTATCACAGATATAATAACAATGACCCTTACTCACAGACTTGAGAAAAATAATTATCGACATCCTTGAACTTACATGATTACATTATTCGTGTGAATGAATATTCTAAATTACATAGGCTATAGTTTAAAATTATATCCTGCATTTTGTCTGCTTGGGTCCTCAGAATCACCCTGTAGAACAGAACAGTTACAATGCTAATTTATTGCCGGAAAGCTACACAGTTAGGGCCATGAATCTGAGACACCAACCCAAGCCGTCAGGGTCCAAAATCTCCATTTGTCTTGTATGCTGACACTCTCAAATCCCAAACCAAAATGACATTTTATGGGCAAGAAGTGAACAAATTAAAAAGTGTTTCCTGCCTAGAAAGAGAAGACTCTATAAATGATGCAGATAGCAAATCAGTCGGGATGACAGGAATTAGCCAAAATAAGCCAACAATTCTTGCAAAGTCTTCTTCTGAATAATACAGTTCTTATTATGGGCATCACATTGGGGTGGGGGAAGCGGATAATCAAGGAAAATTGTTACTTAATTTATTAAGATTTTGTTACATATTTTGTTTTAATTAGCAGGTAATATTTTTCAAAATTCCTTGGGAATATTTGCACGATCCCTGTATAAATCCTACAGTATTGATGTAACACTTCTGTTCTTAATACCACAAAGCCACACCATGGCTTAGGTATTTTTGGTTTTGAATTTTTAGATGTTCATCTATAAAAATCAAAGGTCTGACTACAGAAAATTGGAAAGCACAAAACTTTCCAAAAGCAAAATTACAGACCCCAATGCAGAGGCTGCTCACATTTGGATATACTCACATCCCATCTTCTTTAACAAATATTTTTTTATTCTTGTACTTAAACAGCATATATAAAGTGAAAAACTATTATTTTAGAAATATACTGCATAATACAAACCACCACACTTATGTTGAAAATGGAGAAAGCACAAAGAAATGGGGGAAAATTTTTTTAAATGGCCTCAAATTTCACTATCCCAATGATAACAAAGAGCATCTGACAGTCTATTTTATCCATTTTGACATTTTTAAATTTTCTGACTGATCATGCTGACTTTGCTGCACAGTGTACATAGCTTCCTTATGGAAAAAGTAAAGAGATGACTGATACCAGATACAAATTCCACTGGGTAGTTTATTAGACTTCCTATTTAATAAACCCAATGTTTAGGATAACTCAATTTTAGTTTTAAAGGTGTATGTTTTTACTCAAGTTTTCATGTGATAATGTAAGGCAGTTAGATTTTTTGTTACTTTTTTTTTCTTACAAGTATGTTTTTATAGATATAAAAATCCTTTCACAGCATTTTTCCTAGGTCATTTTTAGGTATGTTAGAGAATATAATAAAGATTTAACCATGGTTCCAAGTGCTAGAATATAATGGTACCACAATTTGTTTTAATTGTTTGTCAGATAAGGTAAGAAGTTCCAAATAAAGTACAGATTAGAAGACCAAATATTGTGAAAATGTCTATGCTACCTAAAGCAATCTACACATTTAATGAAATCCCTATCAAAATACCATCAATTTTTTTCAAAGAAATGGAACAAATAATCCTGAAATTTATATGGAACCAAAAAAGACCCTGAATAGCCAGAGGAATGTTGAAACAGAAAGCCCAAGTTGGTGGCATCACAATTCCAGACTTCAAGGTCTATTACAAAGCTGTAATCATCAAGACAGTATGTTACTGGCACAAAAACAGACACATAAATCAATGGAACAGAATAGAGAGCCCAGAAATAGACCCTCAACTCTGTGGTCAACTAATTTTCGACAAAGCAGGAAAGAATATCCAATGGAAAAAAGTCTTTTCAACAAACGGTGTTGGGAAAATTGGACAGCCACATGCAGAAGAATGAAATTGGACCATTTTCTTATACCACACACAAAAATAGACTCAAAATGGATGAAAGACCTCAATATGAGGCAGGAATCCATCAAAATCTTTGAGGAGAACATAGGCAGCAACCTCTTCAACCTCAGCTGCAGCAACTTCTTCCTAGAAACATCACCAAAGGCAAGGGAAGCAAGGGAAAAAATGAACTATTGGGACTTCATCAAAGTCAAAAGCTTTTGCACAGCAAAGGAAACAGTCAACAAAACCAAAAGACAACTGACAGAATGGGAGAAGATATTTGCAAATGACATATCAGATAAAGGGCTAATATCCAAAATCTATAAAGAACTTCACAAACTCAACACCTAAAGAACATTTAAATAATCTAATCAAGAAATGGGCAAAAGACATGAACAGACATTTCTGCGAAGATATCCAGATGGCCAACAGACACATAAAAAAGTGCTCATCACTTGGCATTGGGAAATACAAATCAAAACCACAATGAGATATCAACTCACACCAGTCAGAATGGCTAAAATTAACAATTCAGGAAATGACAGATGTTGGTGGGGATGCAGAGAAAGGGGAACCCTCCTACACTGTTGGTGAGAATGCAACCACTCTAGTGCAGCCACTCTGGAAAACAGCATGGAGGTTCCTTAAAAAGTTGAAAATAGAGCTACCCTACGATCCAGCAATCACACTATTGGGTATTTACCCTAAAGATACAAATGTAGCGATCCGAAGGGGCATGTGAAACCAAATGTTTATAACATCAATGTCCACAATAGCCAAACTATGGAAAGAACCTAGATGTCCATCAACAGATGAATGGATAAAGAAGTGGTGTATATATACAATGGAATACTATCAAAAGAAATGAAATCTTGCCATTTGCAATGACGTGGATGGAACTAGAGGGTATTATGCTGAGCAAAGTAAGTCAATCAGAGAAAGACAATTATCATATGATTTCTTGATATGAGGAATTTGAGAGGCAGGGCGGGGGCTTTGGGGGGTAGGGATGGAAAAAATGAATCAAGATGAGATCAGGATGGAGACAAACCATAAGAGACTCTTAATCTCACAAAACAAACTGAGGGTTGCTGGGGGGGTGGGGGGATAGGGTGGTTGGGTTATGGACTTTGGGGAGGGTATGTGCTATGGTGAGTGCTGTGAATTGTGTAAGACTGATGATTCACAGACCTGTACCCCAGGGCAAATAATACATTAGATGTTAATAAAAATAATTAAAGTACAGATTAAGAGTTCTTTTTGCAAAATCAGTATTAGAAACTGGGAAGAATCAGTAGAGGAAGATCATTAATTTGGGGGAAGAATTCACTCCTATCATGTGGAATCCACACAATGGACCCCCTTCTACAGGATTCTTGAATTTGCCATCCCATCACCTGAAGATGGGAAGATTCTTTAGTCTTTTTACAGTACAAGAGCTCCATTATTTTGATTATTTACTTTGGTTTGTTTCTCAATTTAGGTAAATGTCCTCATTGTTTCCTGGAATTGTTGATTGCTTTTGAACCTATACCTAGTCTAAAATTAAATATCCTTTTTGCTTTCTACATGCAAAACAGTTTGCCTAGGTACAAATTCCTGAGTCCTAACATTTTTCCTTCAAAAAAATTGTGGATCTGATTCCTATTGCCTTTTGGCATTTTATTGTGCATATGAGATGTGTAAGGCTTATCTAATTTTTTGTTTCTTTATAATCAAGTCACTTTTGTGTTTCAGTGGTATGAAAACATATTCAGATACTTTTCAATGACACAATATGACATTTTCATTGATTTTTTCTGGGAAAGTAATGGAGTCTCTTCATTATACTTTTGGTTTATGTTTCTGTGATTATGACTGCAGTGTTTTACCTCAGAGATCCCCTACAGTTGTCAGGTTGTATCTTCACTGTCCTCTAAATATCTTTTGACCTCCTTTATAATTCGTATCTTTTTTTTTTTCTTATGTATGTACTTTATGTTGCTAATTTCTTTTTCAGATGTTTTCTCATTTGGGGAGAAGTTTGGAGATTTTCCATACTGAGGTAGAAAAAGTGAGCCAAACCTTCAGGCTTTTGTTTTATACTTTTCCTGGTTTGGGGGCAAAGCTAGCTTCCATGTTGGTCCTTGGAGAGGGATTCTGAGTCCTTTTGTGTGTCTAACTGACCCACACCCAGGCAGTGAGCAGAGGCTCGAGTCCTGAGGGGGAGGCAGTGTAGACGCCCACCACCAGCACTGTGGTGGGGTTCTTTCACCAGAAACAGGGAAGGAAGGATTCAGGGCTCCTCAAACACATATACCATTTCATTGTCCCATACAGTTTTATTTTCTGTTAAAAACCTTAAACTGTTTTCCAGTGGTTTCTGGAGAATATTTCCAGAGATAAATTCCGCCTCTGAGTCACTGCAATGTTATTTCTTTCACTTTGTTTTCCAGTATTTATTACTGTTTGCATTTTGTCCCATGCTTACTTATCTCAGGAAGGAGATCTGTCAGATCTGCTCTTTTCCTGATAAGGGACAGGTGAGACTAGGTAAGGAGGGAAGGGATGGGGCCATAGGATCAGGCTCACATAATTCAAAAATG